TTAAATGTTACGTTATATTTATTTTATGTTATATAAGATAGTAATGTGATGTAGGTTTGTAAGTTACAATCATACATGATATTATAACTATATTATTACCGTTATATGATTGACTTTTTTCACTGAATTGGACATAGTATTATGTGCATCAAGTTCTTTAATATCAGATCATTATGTTTTATTTCATATCTTGATATATCAAAGAATAAAACTCATGGCTAATATGAGTAATTCAATTTCCAATGATATCATCTACTTTGATTTGCTGGAGAAAATAAGATCACCTTATTGAAATTAATTTGGATTTGTTCCTTAAGTAGGCTTTAATTAATCAATAAAATTCAGTGTCAATGATAACCAGACTAAAATCAATTTGGACTTGTTTCTCTTAATTTTTTTAAATTTTTCTTTAATTTTTCCCATACTACACATTTCCCTTTCTTAAAAGGGTTTGTCTACCTTTCTTAAAAGGGTTTGTCTAAGGGTATAGGTTAAGAATGCAACATATACATCTTTTTGTAATTAATTCACATTAAAAATGATAAAAGTTGACATATATTTTAACATTATTAATACCTAAATGATTTTAATTAGTTAATTGATTAAATCAAAATCAACATTTATACTTTTAATAAAATTTAATTGTGAAAAGGTACATTTATTGCACCCTTAAGGCACAAAATAGAAAAATCTTTCTTAAAAAATCAGAAAAATTACTCCACATTTCCCTTTGTTAAAAAAAAAAAAAAATCAGATAAGATATTGTTTGATTGGATAATGCCTTTCTTTGCATTAAAGGTGAGCATTGGATACAGGTACCATTTCTTGTGAGTATATTACTTGTTTACATAAGTATTATACCCGAACTATAAAAAAATTAGATAAGTAATGGGTATGAAAACTGTATAATCTGTAAGTATCAACTCAAGTAACAAATATAAGAGTTTAGAACTGTTTATCTGACTTGTTTAATCGACTTGTTTTGACTTGTTATTGTAGTTATATAATTGAAATTTTACTTATATTTATATACTTTATATGTATATAATAATCATAATTTTTTAAAAGAAAAATAATAGAGCATAGAAATAATTCCTAATCTTAAGAAATCACATGCAATAATAACAACTCGTATAAATAAAAAATTT